ACTATGTATACGAGGTGTGTCAGAAAAGTTTCAGGACTGGCGTCACAAAAGATATATTTCAAATCCAAACTACAAACTACAAGTTTTCCTCTTCCAAGTAATCCCCCTGGGGTCTAACACACTTCTCCAGCCTTCTCTGCCACACCGCCATGCACTCCTGGAAGAATTCTTCCAGGATCCTCCACAGCTCCGTCGTCACAGCCATCTTGATGTCGTCCACGTCTTCTAAACGGGTCCCCTTGATGACCCCCTTGAGCTTGGGGAAGAGGAATAAATCCCACGGAGCCAGGTGGGGTGAGGAGGGAGGTTGCTCCAGCACGGAGATGTTCTTCTCAGCCAGGAACTGTGGGATGCTCAGCTCATTGTGAGCAGGTTGTCATGGTGAAGCAGCCACGACTTGTCCTGCCACAACTCTCGCCTCTTCTCAAGCACTGAATGAAGCAAACGCTGCAGGATCTCTTTGTAGACGTGCTGGTTGATGATCTGAAGGAGAAAACTCGTAGTTTGTAGTTTAGGTTTGAAACATATCTTTTGTGACACCAGTCCTGGAACTTTTCTGACGCACCTCGTTAATTTATAAATCTCAGAAGAAAGAGAATCTTGATTTTTTAATGGGGTTCAAATGAAAAAAAAAGGCAACATCAGAACCAACCTGATCACTCAGGATTTGACATTAATGAGTAAACTCCAGTCTGTGTTTTCATTGCTGCACTCTTTAGCAAACTTTCTGATGTGACGACATCAGACTCAGACCAGAGAAACGTCAGCTTTAGGGCTCAGGTTTCCTCCGAGTATTTATTTGTTCTGGAGTAAAACGCTGTCAAAACATTCATGTGTGGTTCTGCACGTTCATTTCTAAAAACACTGGCATGACTGTGCGCCTGCTGGACCGCACAGCTTCCTGCTGAAAGCCAACTCTACCTCGCCGCGGTTTTCTGGACACACAGCGAGCAGTGTTCTACCTGTCGGGGCGTTTTCCCCGCCGCCACCTGAGCTGCTCGCCTTACAACACAAACAACCGCAAACCACGTCAGTGAGCAGAGGAGGAAACTCCACGGCAGCAAAATGGTCAGTAGGGTAGAAAAATAAACACAGCGTTGGGGGTTTGTTTACAGTTTTACCTGTATTGCATTCCTTTAAAAAAAAAAAAAAAAAAATTGTAATTGATGAGCAGTTCTAAATCAGTCTGTTGGTAACCATAGTCACCAAACTGATGCGTCGAGGTTGGGTGGCAGAGAAACGAGTGGTGAAACTAACCGGCTCCTGAGTTAAACTGACTACAAACACGTTGTAAATACAGCGCGGTTGGTTGACACACCTGTCCAGTCTGTTTTTATACTGCTAAAACCTCATTAATGTACAATCTATACATGTATCTACGTACTTCTGGCCACTGTGTCATCACACAATAGTGTTTGTATATGTGTGTGCTTGTAAGTTTGTCTTTGTCAGAGATTTTGTCAGAGAGTTTTACACCTCAAAAGTGAGGCCATTTCGTCACTTTGAGACAGACCTTCAAACAGCAGTCTGGGGGTTCAGACTTGGTTTCAGGATTCAGGTTAGTGCTCAGGTTTTGATTGGCGGCTCATTATGCCGATGAGGACCGTCACAAAGACAGAAGAACGACTATGTGTGCATTTGTGAGTGTATTTTGGGGTTTCGGGTCTTGAACTCTTCTCCCTGGAGGTTTAAAGGGCTCTGCAGGACCCCACTTAGGTTTTAATGTGCCTGCTCTCTACTCAGCCCCACACACACACACTCACACCCCACAACAAAGGCTCTGCAGGGGCCCGCTGGGGTTTATTTAACAGGGTTTCCCCCTAATAGAGACACAGCTGCTGGATTTCATGCTCAGTTTTTTTAACTGTGCAATTCAGGGAACCAACAAGTGAAGCAACACTGTTGGAACATGTGGAATTTACACCAGAGCAGTGCATGAAATACATCCGTGGCCACATAAAGATGGTAGATATAGAAACTAAGTAAATGAATAAAACAGATGAAGACTCCTGAGCTCAGCTTCTGTGCTTCACAGGCTGTAGTGTTCATTATGGCTACAATATGAATAGAATGTAAACGTAAATCGGACCAGTGTGAGAGGAGCAGAGACGTGATGTGAAGTCAGTGGATCATCCAGCCTTCATAAAACCCAACTACAGCCAGTGACACCAATCAAACACAAGCACAAATGCCTGGCAGATGACTTCAGAAGGTGAATTATGTGTTTCTACTGTTTACGTCCTGATCATGGAGACAGAATGCGGCTGGTTCCAAAGGTGACCCAACACATTGGGTTCTTGATTAGTTGTTTGGTCTATAAATGTTTAAAATTGTCTATCACACTTTCAGAAAGACCAAATATTTACTTTAGAATATAAAACTACTCTTTAGTATCACATAAGATGGAGAAAAGCTGATAATCCTCACATCAGAGAAGCTAATTATGAGATATTTGGCACTTTTGCATGAAAACTTAAAAAAAAAAAAAAAGACTAATATTAAAAGTATCTGTGGATTATGTTTTGCTTTGAATGTAAACCGTTTAAATTCATCAAGATTAATTCCAACACATCCAGGAAAATGTAAGCATTCATCCACAATTCCTCATTTTGTGGTATTGAATCCAAAATGCTTCCTCATGTTACATCTCAGATGGTTGGCTGTCATTAATTATTTGTTATGCATGACTTGTTAGTTTCTTCCATCAGCAAACAGAACAACAACAACAATAGTCTCTCAAAAACAGAGCATCAGTAAAGCAACAGTGCAGATCAGGCCTGTTGCACATAAAGACAAACAAGAAGAATTTCATCACATTATTACCGACTGAGTCTTTTCTTTTTCTCCCACATTCAAATTACATGTTGAATAAAATGTGCATTCGTTGGTCAGAGAAACAGCAGGTTGAGTTAATTTTCAAGTCGAGCCATTAAATCACCGCACCGGAACAACACACAAGATCATTAAAAGATCTCCAGTCGAAGCTCAGGTGATGAAAGAGTAGAAAACATGAACAGAACCAGACATTTCTGCTGGTCTCATGTGTTAATATGAGGAAGGCTACAGTTTCCACAGCTGATGCTTTCCTCAGTTTTCACCTCCACAGTAGAAATGAAGTTTCAGAGGATGTAAATTTAGGATTTATTTATTTTTGGGACATATTACCTCCCTTCCCAAGTGCTTTCTTTCTTTTCTTTTTTTTTCCAAACCTACAACAACCCTACCATGCTGGTGTATCTGCTGCCAGTCAGGGAAACTGAAACTGAAAATGCTCATAAAAACAGGAAGATGGAAATTTGTGTCTGAATTTAAAACTAACATTTAATTAACGCTCACAAAAAATTCAGGCGAGGCAGTATGATTATATCACAAAGGCACTGTGAGACTGTAGCTCCTTTCTTTGTTCATCAACTGTTTAGTGTTTAAAATGTCTGAAACTACTAAAGAAAAAGCAGATCGTTCGTCACTAAAACCAAAACGAACACATTAACATTTTCTTTTGTGTCCAACCAACAGCTGAAAAACATATTCAGTTTACTATGATAGAAAACTGTCCAATATTCGCCTCTGACAAGCTCTACCAGGCAAGATTCTGCATTTTTGTTTAAAAAAAAAAAAAAAAAAAAAAGGTTGCCAGATTGTTCAAATTAGGTTTGTCCTGAACACCGGAGAAAACCATTTGCAAATATACACAGTTTTGACCGACGGGCAGAAGCTACGCACACATGGATGCAGACAATAAGATGACTTTTAATCTTGTTTTGTAAGCTGATGTTACACTTTGTTAGTACGTCACTTTTTGGGTGTCAAACTTTGACATTTGTGTAGATTCTCAGTCAGTGGACTTCTTTTTTTTGCTCTTATAGACACTTCACCTGCCATCCAAGAAGCTCTTTCAGTGACTGATGAGGAGTCCAACATGGTTAGAAGCCCATAAACGACTCAAGACTCACGTGACTCGAGGTGTGAAGAGTTGTGAAACCGCCACGTGAGGGACGACTCAAGGTGTGAATGGAGGTGAAATTGTTCGGGGAGTGATCTCAAGACTGCATTATAAGTACCTGGCCAGTGGTGTAGCAAAAGCCTTCCAATACTGACTGATTGGGATGTTGACTACCGTGGCAATGACAGAAGCTCCAGCAGTCTAAATGGCTGCCAGTTAACTTTCAGTCAGTCAGCTGATACACTGCTTCATCTCTGGGCCTGACATAATAATAAAACTGCCATGTGTAGGACAGGGGGAGTTAGCAATCATTTGCCCCGGGGACCACAGGAGGATAAAGTGCTTTTACATAATCGTATCAATGATGACATTCAAATCATCACTTTGAGTGTCTCATAGTCGTCTTGAAGCCACTTTGGAAGTCCCATGTACAGAGATACTGACTGATGCACTTTTCCCTGCCGGCCGCATCGCCCTCACATGTTACAGTCACAGGCTTCAGTCGGAGCAGGAAATGTCTGTTTACATTAGCAGGTTTCTGCAGAGAACAGCAGCTGCATCTGGAAGCTGAAGGAGAACATCTCTCTGCTCATGTTACGTAATCAGGTTCAGCCCGCCAACATACTACAGCTGCTGACCGACACTAACAGAGTAACAAGGCTGTATGTTCTACAGAAAGGTCACCCCAAGAGCCCCAAAGGCAGCGTAATACAGACACTACAGAGGCCCCACTTATCTTCTTTAAGTAACTCTTTAATTTCTACAGAAATGCCGCGCAGGGTGTCATGAATCACAGGAGACTGTGCCACACAAGTGCCATCAAGTCTGATTAAATCACAATAAACTCACTTGTGCTGCTCGAGACACTGCGGGGATATTTCACAAAGACTACCAGAACCCTGCTGAAAAGTAACCCTAAGAGGATCAAAGAGAATCCTGAAACTGCTTAAGACAGTGAAGGCAACATGCTGTCCCTCCATCCGGACAAACACCCTCATTAATTACCTTCAGTACAAACGTCCACAGGAGACAGACAGCCGAGAGAAAACAGACTCACCCACAGTAAATAATTCCTGGGTTTAAAAAAAGAAAAAAACAAAACAACTCTCCTCTTCTCTGAGAAATGATCCGAAAGATGTGTTTTCCTCTGCTGCGCTCACTTGTTCTATTAAATCTGTGAGTGCGAGTCTCGTGTTTCCCGTCCTGACAGCAGGAAGGCGGGGTCCTCCAGCTGGACCAGGACCAGCAGCACGAGGAGGAGGAGGAGGAGGAGGATTTAGAGTCACCAGAACACATCTCTGTGACACAGAGGTGGACAACAAAGTGCATTTAGAAAGTACAACAGTGAGCTATTTGTTCTTTTTTTTACACTATAGTGTACCTCTACTGCACTACATCTGTCACAGGAATAATTTCCTTTTTTCTTTTCTTTTATAAACGGATTCAAAACATGTAATCAGTTTAGAGCAAATTATGGGTTAAGTGCACAAAATCAGCCTTGTGAGTAGAGTCCTGAAGCATTTTAGCAGTTTTTTTAAAAATCTAGTATAGTACCAGTGCTTTAGGATGATCCTTTTTTTCATCCTTTATGTATACAGGGAAAAGCCCCAATTAGATTAGATATTCTCTTTTTCATGGGTGCCCTGGAAGCATGACAATAAGCAGAAAACACTTTTTTCCGCTGTTACTAAAATACAAAATAAATACAAAATAAAATACAAAGAATAGACATTTATACAGACGTAGACTCTCACATACAGAACAAACACTACAGACAATCAAATTAAAACGCTCTACACACACAGAATAAACAATCATAAGTTAGAGAAAGTGTACAAGTTAAAATTAAAGAAACACTCATTCTGCTCCTTGTTGGACACCAGGGCCTTAAACTTGGGTGCATAATATTTAAAAGCTTGTTTCCCAGTTTTAATGAGTGTGTTTTCCAAGACTATGAAACCCTGGACCCTCATTGGATGAGAAATTGATCTATAATTAAAAGGACAAGTCAGATATTCAGGTCATTTTTCTAACAATGCTTTGTAGATGAATAAAATGCAACGCCGTTCTCTTCTAACTGCCAATGACGGCCACTCAACTTGCATCCATTGCATCCAGTGGTTTAAGAGTGGAGGCAGGAGAGCGCTTATAGATTACATCACCATAATCTAAGCCTGATAAAAATGTTGACTGGACAATTAGTTTTCTGCAGTTATGTGTTATACAAGATTTATTTCTATGAAAGCAAGAAAATTTTGCTTTCAGTGATTGAGGGAGTTCATTTCTACGTGTTGTGGTGTATCTGCAGGTCTACGCTGTGCAGAGAGACGTATTGTTTACTGACCACAGATCCGCATCAGTGCTCATCCTGCACAGTGCTGCAGTCGGTCATATTAAAGTTTAGTTTAGTTTTTAAGGTGGAGTTGCCTCCCTGATAACATAACGACAGACTTGGAGAATAAATTCTGAGTCATTCCTGTGACGCTATGAAGCTCACACAGATGTATTATGAGTCCAACAGATTAGTGTAGTACAAAAAAAATGCTTTCATTCACAAGATGTTCCCAGTTTTCACTACAGATGGATTCATGTGGCAGCAGGATTGTACTGCTGATGGCTGTGAAGGTACAGCTAGTTGAACTGTTTCATTAACTCTTTGCAAATGTAATCTGTGTTCACATTTTATCAACTTATTGTATGACTTGGATGTAAAACACAACTAAAGCTGTAGACAGTAAACTGTGTTATCCTCTAAACGGTTACAGAACAGTGTACGCATTAAGTCATTTTGCTTCAATACAATTCACATTACAAGACCAGGAGGCATTAGACTGTATGTCACTAATTACACATAATGTTCTATATGCTGCTTCCTCATTGTCTTAAAAGCCTCCAACGTTAGAGACTATCAGTCCACTGCTGCCCTCTGCCAGCTGCCCCTGTGTATCACTATAAATATTCAATTTGAATGGAGCAAAAAGGAGACAAAACAAAAACAAGATGTGCCAACGTCTGTCTTACGTTTTCACTAAAAATCTTAAATTGCAGCAAAGTGGAAACACGATTAAAGCCTGAACGTCAGAACACTCCTCCCCTGTATTTACCTTTGAGACGTCACAGAAAAGAAAGAATAAATCAAAATGAAATACTTAAAATAAGAAGAATGAAACTGGGGATATTTTCACCTTTTTAACAAGTTTATGATTTGTACTATAAAACACAAACATCAACTTGAACGTCTTGTCTTCAGACAGGATGTTTCACAAAACAGTTATAATAATCACATTTTACTTGACAGAACTGCTTATATTATTTCAATCTTCCTTTTTGTGTTGAAAATAACTTGTATTAAGTTAAATTTTATGCTTTCTTCACGGCGATATTTTTATTTTTTATTTTTTTGCATGTTCAGCACTGCCTCTCTGGTTTACACTAGCCAACACTGCTAATAAAAATGCTAATAACGCGCTCATAAACGCAACATTGTCTCCGTTTCCGTCATAATCAGAAGCAAAAAACAGGAAAACAAAATTATTACTACCACGTCTCATCCATTCTTCATTTTAGTTTTTTGTTTTTTTAGGGGTGGGACTTTAATGCGTTAATTCCAATTAATTAATTACAACAAAAATAACGCATTAGAAAACTTTGATGCTATCCAGGACTGCTAGCAGATTCTGTGCTCGCTGCAACATGCTTTGCATTCAGGTGGTACCGTCAGCTTGATGTGCTTCAGTGGGATGCAATTTCTTCTTTGCACAAGTTGCACAAAACCACGCTCTTGTCAAGGCTTCCATCAGGCAGTTTTTTAAAAATGAAACTTGCCCTCCATCAGTTCAAGCAATGCACTCTCATCAGATTCCTCCATGTTTGTTGTTGTTAGCGTAGCGCTGACGCATCTTGTGCATCACTGTGATCAGTGGACCATGAAATCGGTCACTGACAAACGTTCCATGTTGTCTGGATGCAAACTGCGATTAAATGCATTTTTTTAACGCCATATTTTTGTTGTAATTAATTAATCGTATATTAGGGGTGGGACTTTAACGCGTTATTTATGCGTTAATTAATGTGTTTAACTTGCAACACACTGAAAATGCTGGGGTGAATTTTCAGCTGAGTTTTATCAGTGTTTGTCAGAGAGAATAAATTTATACTTTAAAAAAATCTTTAAATTGTAGCAGTCCTTAGGGTTTTATGGTGCGTCTCAGACTTGCTCCAACATTGAGGTTTGTTGGTCCAGTTTCTTATTTTCAACCTTTCATGTAATTTATTTAGGCAAAGCTGTGGAGCAATGCTGAGAGAAACATTTCAGTGGCATAAAAATATACTAACTGTAAAAACAAACCTGCTTTTATTATTTTATAGTAAGACGGTAGTAACATGACAGACTGGCCAAGCGTTTCATTATCGCTCCTTCTTCAGGAATTCAAAGCTGCAAGTGTCAAGACGCAGGCTGAAAACAACAAATAATAATTCTCTAGTCTTGTCCAAGTTAAAGTTTTATTAGCTCCAGTATCTTTGAGGTATTCGTTAGAAACAAAACATTTATAAATTCACAACACAAAAGAAAATCAAAACTAGCAACACAAAACAACAAATATTCATATTTTCACATCCAGACGGGATGATCATGTGATCGTCTCTGCGCTGTCATTACAAAAATAAACGTCCTGCTCACGCTTCACAGTAGGATCAGCGTTGCCAAGGACTAAAAGTAAAAAATAGTTTTGTGGATGCTATTAAAAATGATCCATAAACACTGTTTTTACACTCAAATCATTTCCACCATTAACTGGTTTGAAGTGACAACTTTGCTGTTTGTCTTGCAGCTGGTTTGATATCAGCAGAGTCTGACTGAAATCTCTTTTCACATCCAGTGTGAGCTCATGTGCACCTAAAGTCAGTAGAAATCTCCATAATGTTCCACTGTGTGCATTAGTTGTTGTCGGTACCTGCAGATGGTCTAACCAGGTTTGGTGACTGAACACTGAGGAACGCTGGCGCCTCCCGGTGGTTGGCTGGTGGTTATGTTGTCTGCACAGCACTCTGTGGACCTGAAGGCTCTGTAGCAACAGCAAAGACACATGAACATAAAGCAAAAATGAAACCAAAGCCACATACATGAAACCTGACACTGTAGCTTAACCCTGATAGTTGGTAGTTAAGTGTGTATAAGTCATGATGGAACTGAGGAGGGGCTGCAAGGTGGCTCGGTGGTTAGCAACGTTGCCTCACAACAAGAAGGTCGCCGGTTTGCGTCTTGGTGAGGACACCCGGGATCTTTCTGTGTGGAGTTTGCATGTTCTCCCTGTTAACCCGATTCTTTAGTTGAAAGCTCAAGAACAAACTTGAGAAATCTTCAGTTCACAGATGTAGAATTTATTTATGTCACAGGTAAAGTGAGGCAGCGCTGTGTTCAGAGAGACGGAGAGTGATCTCACATCCAGCTGAACTGAGTTTTTCCAGGTTCAGGTTATAGATATCTTCTTGGGCTGGGACTGGCCCGGACAGAGATCAGACTTGTACGCTACTGAGTTTAATTGGCCAGTTACTAATGACGTGGGCACGCATTCCTCGACCACGCTCTGTCCACGTCCTTGAAATTTGGTGAGCAACATGTATCTAAAGTAATTATCCTATCTCATAGAACAGGGGAGTTTCTGCTGTCTCCTTGTGTGTGAACCAGTTCTTGCCGGCCATATTATCTTCAAGGACGTATATTGTGCTCAGTAGAAAAATACAAAAAATCATTTGATTCCATCAGTGTAAAACTATTTCAAGATGTCAACAGCAGAGCAGCACGAGCTCCTTACTGTGGATTAAGATTATGTACATTATGTAAAATAACAGTTTCTTACATTTTCTGTCATGTATAGGGAAATACTCCTGTTAAAGTATGATGTACACAATTTTCTCCGTACGAGTCCAACAAAGAAAATGCTTCCAAGTATTGGAATGGATTTGTGACGAAGGACTGACAAGTGTTGCTAAACAGATGAAGGTGAGCTGCCATCGTGCTGGTGCTTCTTTTCTGTATCTTTATTAAACAGTACATTTCTTCGCATTAAAACCGTTAAAAAAAATCAAAGACAGTGATGATTTAAGGCAGAAGGTAACAGATATTCCTGCCGAGCTTCATGAGCTCCTCCAGATAACTCTACCACATGCAGACTGTGGAGGCTCGCTAGAGGCCAGGCCAACAAATTCCTACATTCATCCGTCCATTGCGATAACCACAGCCGGTATGGCTCAAAATGGAACATTAAAAAAAAAAAAAGATATCACCACAAACTCGTGGTTTGTATTTCTACCAGTAATGCAATGGTGGATGAATGATAAAAATCCTTTTTCTGGTTACCTGTGTCCAGTGTGGCCGTCCTGATGCGGCTCTCCTCCAGCGTTAAGAAGCTGCTGCTCTTCTCCACAGGGTCTCCTGAGCCAACCTCACAGGTCATGGCCATGATAGGACCCTTCCTTGCCTTCAGATGGACCTGGATGCTTTCCTACATCAACACACATATTCGAGGTGTGTCAGAAAAGTTTCAGGACTGGCGTCACAAAAGATATATTTCAAATTCAAACTACAAACTACAAGTTTTCCTCTTCCAAGTAATCCCCCTGGAGTCTAACAAACTTCCCCAGCCTTCTCTGCCTTCACGCCGCCATACACTCCTGGAAGGATTCTTCCAGGATCCTCCTCAGCTCCATCGTCACAGCCATCTTGATGTCGTCCACGTCTTCTAAACGGGTCCCCTTGATGACCTCCTTGAGCTTGGGGAAGAGGAAAAAAATCCCACGGAGCCAGGTGGGGTGAGTAGGGAGGTTGCTCCAGCATGGCGATGTTCTTCTGAGCCAGAACTGTGGGATGCTCAGGGCGCTGTGAGCAGGTTGTCATGGTGAAGCAGCCACGACTTGTCCTGCCACAACTCTCGCATCTTCTCTCACACTGAACGAAGCAAAAGCTGCAGGATCTCTCTGTAGACGTGCTGGTTGATGGTCTGCTGGTCAGCTACAAGATGCACCACAGAGCGCCACAGAAAACCATTCCTGCCTGTGGCCATCAGACTGTTCAACTCCTCACTCTGAGTGGAAAGGTTTACCGTGGACTTTGGACTGTTTAATATTGTGCAATTTCCATTCTATGTGCAATAACCCAAATGATAGTACTATTATTATTACCACATTGTATATACACTTACAACAGCAAGAATGTTTATTTTGTGTTAGATTTTATTTTATTTTCATATTAATACTTTTTATTTTATTCTTTATTTTTACTCATACTTCTTTAATACTTTTGATTGGGAGCATCTGCAACTGAAGCAATTTCCCCCAGGGGATCAGTACAGTATGTCTGATTCTGATTAAAATGTTCTTTTATAACTTTGTGGTATCTGTAGATCTAATGGTGTCAAAAATGATAGACTCACTAAATCAGGTCTGTGTACATAAGTATGCTTCACCTGACTGCAGTGAAACTAAGTGAAGTAACGAATTTGATTATATTTGACTATACAGAAATAGTTTTAAAGTCTTTGTCTGACAATGAAAAGGAAAGGCATGAAAACGCAGCACGAATCAGTACAAAGTGTTCAGGTTGAGGTTATGAGGTAATGAGGAGCGAGGCAATCTGTACAAAGGTAAGGAAAACAGAGTGTGAATACTGTCCCTTATTCCACTACATATAAAATCCATTATGTCCTATTGTAAATATTTTCTCTCTATATTATAAAAACACACAAGAGTAAAGATTAACGGAAAATCAAACTGAATTTCTGCCCGTCTGGCTTTCTGTTTACCTCTTTTGGTGCAGGAATCTCCAGTTTAGTTTCCTCTGGAGCGTGGATGACGATCACTGTCTGCTCCTTATAACCTCCGAGTCGGCTGATGTCCTCACGGGTCACGTACGCCGACGTAAAGAAATGTTAAAGAAAACTAAAAAATAAAAATAAAAATTGTACTTTCATAGATTTCATGCAGTTTCTTGTTTCCTGAATTCTGGCTTTGATTATAAATTTGAGTTCAAATCGTGTATTTACAGACAACCTTCTATGCTGTCCACAGTTTTTGAGGCATTCTGTTTCTATTTTGTTAATGAGAAGTTCATCATTTTCTATTTTTAACACAATCTGGTGCAAACAGTTACTTTTTTATAAATTTGTAAATGAGACAAGTAAATTAAATATCACTTAGATTTGGTTCTTTTTTTTTCTGACAAAACCCAATATCACACATAATTCATTTAAAGGACGACTGACAAGTTGAAAGTACAACAATTCTTTTTGTTTTTACAGTTTCTGACTTATAATAAATTTTCAAATTTCAACTTCTTTGCAATTTTTTGAAAATGAAAATATGGGTTTCAAACCACCTGGCAGATTCTGGGGTTCAGAGGGCAGGATATTGAAATAATTAAGACGATTGTCTACAGGCTTTGATATTTTTCACCACAGCAACTTTTGAATACCATAAAAATTGAAGGTAGCATTACCCACCGCACAACCGACGAGGCAGGTGAAGAGCACGTTAAGGGTCTAAGAAAAGCTCGGGTGCCCCCAGGAGGAGCTGGAGTCAAGGGGGCTGAGCTGCTCTGACAAACTGAAGAAAATGAATCTGAAATCCTGTCTAGGAGAAAGGACTCGGGTAACCTCTGATTTCAGACCGGCCTGGAAGGATATGCAGAGTTTTTCTCGTCGTCAGTCATGTCAAAGAGCTGCTGGGCGCAGCTTTTGATGAGGCCGTCTAGCTCCCTCTCTACTTGCTTCAGGTTCTTCAGCTCTCTCCAGAACGTCTGCCTTGTCCGCCACAGAAAGCTGGAGATCGGACTGCATCCTCTGAACACAGAGCAATCAGAGAGTCAGATGGGTTTAGGTTTTTTTTTTTTTTGCAAACACAAAAGAGCAAGTAGCTGTGACAGCTGTGACAGTGACAGAAGCTGTCTAACAACTCATGACATATGCAATCTGCTGTGCTAATCCCTCCCACTAAAATCAGAACAGCTGAACTAACACGTCAGTAAAGTGGTCAGTGGAGTTCATCTCAGTTGCATATTTCACTTTATTTGATTATGATAGGGGCAAGGTGCCTCGGTGGTTAGCACTGTTGCCTCGCAGCTAGAAGGTCGCCGGTTTGTGTCCCGGTGAGGACATTCGGGATCTTTCTGCGTGGAGTTTGCATGTTCTCCCTGTGCAGCGTGGGTTCTCTCCGGGTTCTCCAGCTTCCACCCACAAGGTCCAAAAACATGCTGAGGTTAATTGGTGATTCTAAATTGTCCGTAGGTGTGAATGTGAGTGTGCTTGGTTGTCTGTCTCTAAGTGTAGCCCTGTGATAGACTGGTGACCTGTCCAGGGTGTCTCCTGCCTTCACCCTGAGTCAGCTGGGACAGACTCCAGCCCCCCATGACCCTAGTGAGGATTAAGCAGTGTGTAGATGATGGATGGATGGATGGATAATTATGATACCATTTTAACTCAATTTGCATTTGGTTAAGGCATTCTACTTCTTTTTAAGCTTTATTTTTACCATTAAATCAAAATGAACACATAAAATTACACACATGGTTTCAAGCAGTAATTTGTAAGCTCATAAAATGTTTAATAGCTTCACAGTAAAATTAGGCAGGTGCTATACAGGGTTTTCCAAACATTATCAGACTTTGGCACAGTGGCTGACTGGTGTGTGTAGCATCTAAGCTGAATGAAAGGCAACACTGTGCTGACAGTTCTACATCTCTCTGGAGAGGAAGGATGCATAGCAGTGACCTAAATATAAACTACAGCGAAACAGAATGAAAAGTGTAGCAATGAGGCAGGAAGTCAAATTAATGCTGTTTCGTGTTTCAGTTATATTTACATATATATGTGCAGCTACTGTATTTGCTCAGTAGAGAGAGCTAAAACATAATAAAATAATGAGGAGCGAGGCAAACTGTACAAAGGTAAGGTAAACTGAGTGTGAATATTGTCCCTTATTCCACTACATATATAATCCATTATGTCCTATTGTAAAAACATGTATCAGGATACAGCCTCATAGAAAATTCACTCTCTGGATTTGACATATTTCTTAGATGTGATCACTATCCACGCTACTTTTGCTGACAGCTGCTTGTCTGACCGAGACTGTTCCTACATTAAGCGAGTGTGTTTGAGGCAGAATAGTTATAAAAAAGTAACATTCTACACACAAGAAAGTTGGTGAAATCCACAAATTGTGTTAAATCCACACCACTTCAGATCAAATCTGGCTGCACAAACGTGACTGGTTCTACATCGAGGTCCAGTGTCTAAAATACAGGTGGATGACTTATCTGAGCAACATACCTGTCAATATATGGCAACAGAGACTAACACAGAACCGAACCACAAAACTACACACAAAAACGTCAACAGTCAAGAACACCACAACACCCCCTCGTTGCTCTACTCACATCCACTTGATCCTATTGGCCGACTCCTTCTGGATGAGGCTGATGCCGTCCAGGATGTTGGTGATGTTGTAGACTTGCTGTAAAGGGGTGTGCAGGCTCGTGGCCAAATGCTGGAGGTCCAAAGAGCCGTCGGGAGACGCCTGCAGCAGCTCCATGAAATGACGAGTCAGCAAATCCAGAGGCATGTCTGAACACAGCATGGCACTGATAGTTAGAGATAACATCCATCCATCCGTTCATTATCTATACACCGCTTAATCCTCACTAGGGTGGCGGGGGGGCTGGAGTCTATCCCAGTTGACTCAGGGTGAAGGCAGGGGACACCCTGGACAGGTCACCAGTCTATCACAGGGCTACACTTAGAGACAGACAACCAAGCACACTCACATTCACACCTACAGACAATTTAGAATCACCAATTAACCTCAACATGTTTTTGGACTGTGGGAGAACCCGGCGAGAACCCACACTGCACGGGGACAACATGCAAACTCCACACAGAAAGATCCTGGGTGTCCTCACTGGGGCGCGAACCCTTCTAGCTGCGAGGCAACGATGCTAACCACTGCATCACCTTGCAGCCCCCTTTATATACAGTCTGAGCATTTATTCTGAGTATTTGTGAAGATTCTTAGTCATCCAAGTCATGGTTATTCTGAGTATTTATGACTCAGATTCACCTCATGTCTCCCTTAACTTCATGAAAGCAGCACTCACTTGGTCTGCTGTCCGTACTGGACTCTTCCCTCAGTCGCCAGGCAGCACTGGAGAAAGAAAAGACAACAGAAGACATTAGATTGTCCCCCGAAAAACACCAGGAAAAATACTAAACAATTTAAATAGAACTGAACTATATCTAACCAAGTGAGAGAGGTCAAACATAAAATATGAAAACCAGAAGTAGAGGCATGTGTTACCTGGTCTTACTGGTCTTCTCAGCTTCTGGAGGATTCTCTAAACTTCCACTTGGATCCTAGAAATTACAGAGAAATCAGAGCAAGTGAAACTAAGTGTGATTTTGCTTTTTAACACACACTTACAAACACAGACATGAAATCTCTTCATTATGCTGATCACAGGTGATTTTGCTGAATTGCATCAAATTGAAACACTTGGGTTTTAGTTGTAACTTTACAGTCACAGTATATAAACAGTGTTCAGAATCAGATCTGGCAGCACTTTGACAAAAATCTTTATAATGCTGTCACATTACCAAACAAATGTAATAAGTAAATAAGCATAAAGATATGGACTCTTTTTTTATATCCAGCTTTGTTCAGCTATTTACTATTGTTTTGAACAGCTACAGTAAAAGGTGCGGTGATGCCACATCATCTAAACGTGAGGCACAACTTCCAACATTTCTCCTGGAAGTTGCGCTCAGTTACTCAATTTAAATGTTACAGAGAGCAGTCCAAACTCTGTTTACTTTCCCACCTTTTCATAGCTGAGCATTTACCGAGTGAAGCAGGTCTGTGCCTTCCACTAATCTACTAATCTAATTACTTTTTCCCACCAAAACTCCAAATATGCCACAATATTTAGTTTACCTTATTATCTCTGTAATCACACACCGTGGGCATAGTTTCAGTATAATGAATAACTGATTGTTAAAATACCTGGTGATTACTTTTCTGATGCTCGACTTAGTTTCAGTTTATATTTTTTGTGTGAATCACGGTGGTACGTAAATGCGTCATCCATCCACGTCTGCAGACAAACACTCTAACCAAACCTCCTTCAGCTGTCAGGAAGTCAACGTCATGTTTTCTAGCGCGCACAAGTAGAATGTGTCTGCACACTCATCTCCATCTACAGGTTGTACAGATGTGTGTGCAAGTTCACTCTTTTGAGTTTGAGCCTGCAGCTGTCCACAGAAACCAAGAACTCGCTCTAATGATTTGAGTCACATGGCAATATATTTCGGATCAAGACAGTCCAATGCACAAATAAACATCAAGATACCAAACTCACACACAAAAGTTACAGCTAGTTGAACAGGTAACAGCTTGTTTAGCCTTTGTTCAGTCTCTCCTGCTTTCTGATGCTCAGTTTGTGTTTGTAGTGTGCATTGTGTTAAAATGTGTAGGACTTCAGTACAGGCAGATATTTTACTTGAAATGAGTGTGACCTGGATCAGGACAAAAAACTTGACTGGGTCCTTTACTTTTTATGGTGTATTTAGGAATAGTAAACATTTAGCATATATAACATCAGTCTCCTGACCTGCTGCGGTAGATTTGGTGGAGCCGGAGTATCCTCTCCACCTTCATCTTCATCACCATCACCATCACAGCCTCCGGTGGACCACTGTTCATCTTCCTCAGTCGAGTCCGCTCCCCAGGAACTGATCAGCGAACCGTCCAGGTGAGGAGGCATGAGGGGAATAGCATCACTGGCAACCCCGTGTTTGGAGATGTCCTCTGGCAGGAAGTGGTCTTCACAGATTAAATACTCTTCTGCAGAGTCCGCCTTGTCCGTCTCCCTCAGCGCTGCCAGCCATACCTGAACAGTGACCAGTGTTAGTGTTTGTCAGGTGGATTAGCTCATCTGTGCTGTTGCAGTCCTCACCTCCTCAGACCTGAGGAGGAAGTGAAGCTGCACCGCAGTCAGTCAGCAGAAAACATACATGTCTGAAGCGATGACTTGATGGTGCACATTGATTATATTGATTCTGAATTGCCCATAGGTGTGAATGTGAGTGTGCTCGGTTGTCTGTCTCTAAGTGGAGCCCTGTGATAGACTGGTGACCTGTCCAGGGTGTCCCCTGCCTTCACCCTGAGTCAGCTGGAATAAACTCCAGCCCCCCACGACCCTAGTGAGGATTAAGCAGTGTATAGATAATGGATGGATGGATGGATGGATGGATGGGGATTGAATATATTGGCTTTTGTTTGCGTTCAAACGAGGTGAAGCTGCACAGACTCCGATGAACAAGTCCAAAAGCTTTCCTAATATTGGTGACAAAAAAAAAAAAACACTTAAACAAATTAATGCATATGGTAAATATTTGATTTAAGCAATTTCTTAAGTTGCTTTTCTTTTCTTTTTTTTTTTACTCCTCTATGACAGTAAATTGAATATCTTTGGGTTGTGGACAAAACAAGACATTTAAAGATGTCATCCTGTACTTTGGGAAACACTGATGGACATTTTTTGATATGAAATAGACCAACCGATTAATCGAGAATGTAATCGATTAACTGATAATAATAATTAGTTGCAGCCCCAACCAAGCCTGCAGTTACCCCAAAGTCCCAGAAGACCCCCTCATGTATGGACACACTGGGTCACAGAGCAACCTGCTGGCGTTTCTGAGAGAACAACCACATATTAGATAAAAACGGTCTTTTATATTATACTTTGTATTATTAATAATATTTTTTCTGAAAACGTTTGTAGGAAAACCTGTCGGCAAAATGATAAAAATGAGTTTATCTTGTTACCTGTTCTGTTACTGAATCGATACTAAGGAGGATGGGAACAAACTTGGGAGACGCGTTCACACAAAAAAAAGTATTTCTAAGCATTCAGGCGGAAAAACATCCCGGCAGAACAACGCTAAGCGCTTTAACCCACCTTCTGAATACTTCGGGTTAAAAATATTAGCATAGTTAGCTCTGTTACACGGAGCATGCTGACACTAGAGAGGGGAAACGACGCCTCCACACGCCCTATTACGATATCTCAGCTCCGGCTACTCTCACCGGTTCGTACCTTCACCCGGTCCGGGTCTTTGGGGAAACTGAAGAACCTCTTCGGTGGTCGGTTGAAGCATCCTCGGTTATAGTTCACCACGCGGTTCGGACAGCTTGAGACGACGCACTTCATCTTGTTAATCGTCCCTCCTCCAAACAGCGTGAAGCAACCGGGAATAACCGAGCACAACCGAATACAACCGGGTCCCAGTTTGTCAGCCCAACTTCAGCAAACACTCCCACCGCGTGCCGTTTGTTTGTGTCACGTGGAGACAGAAGTGCGGGAGACCCGGATGTACAACAGGAAGCGCGTGAACAGCGCATGTGTGCTGTAGTGAAGCCTTTGGTTTTATTTGATTAAAAGTAACCACAATTTAAAAAAAAAAAAGAAGAAGAAGAAAAAAAAAAGCGATTTTTTCAACAAAATTTGATAATAAACTTAAGCATCTATGAGGGTACTTTAAGAAATTTCTTGGCCTCACGGAAAACAAGGGGCATAACTTCCATTTTGGGGCATAACAGTATGCCATAAAGCCTTATATCACTGTCCACGAAAATTTTAAATATTTGAAGCAATTAAAGAAAAAAAAAGAAGAGAAAAGCTTTGAGCTGGCTGCAGTTGCTTCAAGACAATGTGTCAGTCCGTACACCACCAGGCAGCACAGGCAGCCAAATGTGGCTCCAAACTGTTGCCCCATGCATCTTACTCATTCGATCGTCTGTTTCCCAAAGTGATTTGCATGGTCACCATTTTCAGAGGATTATCTGGAGGCTCAAGATGTGACCGTCTCCCATGAAGGAATAGCAAGACTTGAACAGTGGTGGACCAAGTGCATTGAAATTAGAGGAAACTATTTTGAAAAATAATGTAAGAACAGTGTTTCATTGTCAGTTTTCTTTTCTCAAAATGTAAATAAAAAAAACTCATTTTCAATCACATTCTCGATCTTGTTCTGACATATGTCATAGATGCGGAACATTTAGTTTCCCCTAGACCTTTGTTTGCCTGACCATATTTTAAGAACTTTACAATAACAGACTACAACTTCATAACTTGACAAGAACAAATGTTAAAATGCAGTAATCAATTTTAAGAAAATTATTGATGATCATTGATTCATAATGACCTCATGACTTTTTTCATAAGTAAAATTGTATCAGAGTATGTCATAACCTGGAAAATTCACACAAAATGAGGTTATTGTATTTTGCCTTGAACATCTTGGAAAATTATCTAACCATATACTTACTCTGAATGAAGCTCGTATCAATTAAAGATTCTTAGCTGATGTTATCACATGCAACAGAAATGATGAGAGGATGTTTTGGTGATGTGACCACAATCCTTTAATCTGTATCTTGACAGCAGCTTCCTGTCACATTAATGTTAATTATAAAATTTCCAAGAAACACAAGTCAGATAACTCAGCTAGAGCACACAGAATGCAAACCTCATTTCTAATGAACAAAAAGTTTATTTAACATGACTGACTGACTTGACTTGACCTGACTTGACTTGACCTGACTTGTGTTTTTATATAGCTTGGAAAATTCTAGAAAGTGATGACTTTAGAAGCTTATAACAGGCTGACTGAAGCAGCATGATACTCAAGCAGTTAGCACTGTCACCTCACAGTTGGAAGGTCCTTGGTTAGAATCTTGGCTTGGCCTATTTCTGTGTGCATGTTCTCCCCATGCAGCATGGGTTCTCTCTGGGTTCTCCAGTTTCCTCCCACAGTCCAAAGACATGCTGAGGCTAATCGGTGATTCTAAATTGTCCGTAGGTGTGAATGTGAGTGTGCTTGGTTGTCTGTCTCTAAGTGTAGCCCTGTGATAGACTGGTGACCTGTCCAGGGTGTCCCCTGCCTTCACCCTGAGTCAGCTGGGATAGACTCCAGCCCCCCTGTGACCCTACACAGGATAAAGCTGTGTATAGGTAATGGATGGATGATAGGCTAACTGGCATAATTTCAGTCAATTGCATCCATGGACGCACCTTTAGGTTTACCCTTGATCTCAGTGCCTCATTGTCTGAGACAAAAGAAATCTGTAAAAGAAAGAAACCCCCCCCCCAAATGAGCTAAGAAATAAAAAACCATACTGAACTGCACTCTAACTGTTAAAAGGAATGTTTGAAGACAAATCTTAAACGTAAATAGGGTATCTGCCTACCAAACACAATATAGGAGCTGGTTCCACAGCAAAGGAGCCTGATAGTTGATAAAGACACAAAACCCCAGAGAGACACACAAAACCACCACATTGGGATGCAAAGCCACCACAAAGAGACTTTAAATCATCATAAAGAGACACAATCCACCTACGGAGAGACTTGAAACCACCATGGAGAGACACAAACTCATCACAACGACATAAAACCACCACAATTAAACGCAACACCACCACAAAGAGACTTTAAATCATCATAAAGAGACACAAACCACCACATAGAAAAACAAAAACACTACGTAGACTTGAAAATACCACAGAGACACACAAAACCACCATAAAGTGACTTTAAACCACCACAGAGACACAAAATCAATGCAGAGAGACACAAAACCACCGCAAGAAGAAAAACCCACCACAGACAAAAACACATAGAGACTCTAAACCGCCACATCAGATTAACTGGTTGGCCAAGATACATCCCTGGTGATGCAGACTGTAAGGCGAGTTTTGGGAAAGTGACTTCAGTTTTGATTGATGTCCTTGTCTGCAATGGGGGGATCCTCTTCCTTACTGCGTTACATGTTTTTCCTGCATGAGCCCTGATGTGTTTGGTGGTTTTCTTCACACTCGCTGATGGTTATCTCAGATAGTTAGCTCTGTGTATGTGGCATCAATATTCACTGTGTGACATTTATATATGTAACAACCATATCTTTACAGTTTTTTCTCAATTGTTTACACACAAATACTGGTACTTGAGACACAATGACCACAGCATGTACCTCATGCATCAACCCCCTGAAACCGCAGTTCTAAAACACACTTGTCTGTTTAACACTTTGTGATAGACTACTGCTGTGCAGCTGTCTGATCCACTAGTCAAACCAAAACCAGGTCTGACAGGAAAAGAAGACCATGGTGCTGAGAGTAAGTTAGATGAGACGCATCGCTGTCAAACTAAAGATGAGGAAATCAGATATACTGGAGTGAATCTGCATCCTTCGCTATGAACAGATAAATACTGAGGACAGAACTTTTGATGATCAGAGCAGAAGGACGGACAGCAAACATGAGCTTGGTCATGGAGCGACTGTTGGTGCTGTTGATGTTGCTGTGGAGCTCAGGTAGGACTCTACTTTAAAGATCAGCTGTTGCTATTTACACATTTGATTGGATCTTGGAATAATTACTTACACAGAAGTCCTATAGAAGAAGTAGAAAATCTTTACTGTCATTATACAAGTACAATGAAATTTAAAGAGCTGGACATACAAGACATATATTATAATACTTTGTACAACCCCTATTAAAGACTATAAAACACTATTTAAAAAAACAATTTAAAAACAGTTGCCACAGCAGAGGGGTAGTTGGGTATTGCACAGAGTGAAGTGGTTATTATTACATCCGCGTGAGGTAGACTTTATATACACACAAGTAACAATCCAGTTTTGATTCTCCAGTCTTATTAATAACTTATTCATTTTGTCTGCATCATCAGATAGATTTATTTACATCTCCATGCAGCCATTCTCACTGTTATTTAGTGGGGTATGCCACTGATTCAAAGTCAGTCAGAAGTGGAGCACCCCATTCTGCAGGGTTGAGGGCAACTCATCTCGTCACAGTTTCAAATGATGTGAGGTGCTGAATTCAAACAGTAGGTCTGAAACATCCACGTAATGATAAAGTTGAAAAAACATTTGTGGCTTGCTGGAGTAAAAACATCCGCTTGTGACAGCTGATACTTTTGGAAGGGGACGATATACAAAGCGTGGCCTGCTGTTAGATCCTGACAACCCTGCCTCACAGCGCAGGATTGTTATTTCTTCTAAAGAGTAATTGAGGTAGTTAGCCTGTAGGATTGGAATTATGGAATTAAGTATTTGGGTGTGCTCAGGTGTTTCCAGGTATCTACAGGAGTTTCCAGGCATGTTCAAGAGTTTCTAGGTGTGTTAGGAGGTTTCCACATGTGTTCAGTAGTTTCCAGATGTTTCCAGACAGTTTGTATAATTGTTCCCAGTTGTGTCCAGGTATTTCCAGGTGTATTTAGGTGTGTTGGGTGTGCTAAAGTATTTCCAGATGTGTTCTGCAGTTTCCTGGTGCGTTCAGGTATGTTTAGGGGTATCTGGAGGTGTTCAGTCGTTTTTAAATTTACAGTTGTGTCTAGGTGTCTCTACATGTGTTCAGCTGTGGTAGATTGTTTCTCAGTGTGTTCATCTGTTGCAACATTTAGGTGTATTTGGGTGTGTTGAAGTGTTTCCAGGCATGTTCAGTAGTTTCCAGTCATGTGTGATGACATTGGGCTGTGTTGGGAGATGACGTTCATCAATGGCACCGTGAATACCTGTGGATATAACAAAACAGTGGCTGACAAAATGACACCCAGTCCGCAGAAGATTGGTAGAAGAGGACTGTTCATGTAAGAGTTTCTACAGAAGAAAAAGTGAAAACTATGACATGGCCAAGTATGTCACTTGACTTGAATCCAATAGGACACCTCTGGTGTATTTTAAAAAGGAAGGCAGAACAATGCAACCCCTTCAGCAATGAGCAACTGAAAAAAATGTTCTTCTTTCAAGAAATTTAGCACCAACCTTTGCTGCATTGTACGGAGCCCGTCTGTTGATATCGATAAGAAAGAAAATAACTTGTTTCCACGCATTAGTAATTCGTGGCCACAAGATATTAACGCGTGGGAACGATATAGTTAAGTCGTGGCCACGAGATATTAATGCGTGGGATCGACATAATTATCACACGGTGTTTCATCGCAAGAGATCGCAGGATATCAGTGTAGTTCATTCCAAGGTTAAAATAAAATGAAATCAAATCAAAATGTTTCATGCAAATACGCCCGTTATCCTTAATCCACAGCTGGTATGACCACACTGTGAAATTTGCTCCACAACTTCTCTTGTTTCGTCGTATTAGTATTGCGAGGCCACAATTTAACTATGTTGTTCCCACGCATTAATAACTTGTGGCTACGATTTACTAATGCGTGGGAACGAGTTATTTTTATTTCTTATCGATGTCACCAGACGGGCTCCGTAGCATTGACATCCTACTGTGGAGAAAATCTTAACTGTTGTTTTACATACGGACAAATATCCTTCTATTTAACTTAAAAATCATGCAGGAAGTGCAAAGTTATGTAATGTTGACTAATTTGGCATTTAAGTAGTATGTACTTACTTCTGTCATATACTGTATGTCTCTCAGCCAGATGAGGCTGTGGCCCAGTGTTGCCCATCTTGTCATGCTGCGTGCTGTGTTGTCTGTGATTAAGCCAGCTCCTCTGACGATGAACAGTCTGCATCTGCATGCTAATAATACAAAACTATTTAATTTGATCACAGTAACACGTACTCAGCAGGATGTGACCAAGATTAAATGGAGTTTTGACTGTAACTAAAGATAATTAGCAGAGCTTTGATTAGAACTTAATTCATGGATTGTTCCTCACATTTAAGTCATGAGAGCTGATATTTGATCAATCTATTAATTTTGGTTGATTTCTGAATTTTAGATTACATAAATTTGGATTTTTGATTCTCATAAATGGTTATTCTGCTCTCAAACTATGCATTCATAAATACATCTGAATTTATCTTGACTTATCTACATTTCTGCAGTTCAACGCTTTTTCAAAGATGGCTGTAACTCCTCAATGCTCCTTAAAGCAATCGGTGCAATTTGTGTTCTGTGTTTTCACATGCTGATTTCACCAACAGTAAACTAGTAAAATGCGTGGGTTTACAAAGATGTTTCTGAGCTGAGAGTAAATGCTTTACAATACAAAATTTTTTATTTTTCCGCGGCTGAAATCAGCTTAGAGCTGAATTCCCTTTTTATGCTGCTGATTATTTTTTTCTCTGGGGTCCAAGCTGAAGGAAAACACAGTTCAACAGATAAACAGAGGAATGAAAAAAGAAGAATCGGCAGTAAATTCAGTCTTTTAATGATGATTCTCTGGTTTCTGTTCAGAGTCTGATGATATACGGTTAGTGGAAGGAGACGGTCCCTGTGCAGGAACAATGGAGATAAAACAGCAGGAATGGATTTTAGCGAATGTCGAAGACTGGACCTTGTGGGACGCATCTGCTTTCTGTCAAGATCTAGACTGTGGCTCTATTATTTCTTTAGAAGAGCAAAAACAAATCATATCTGACATAAGTTCGGAATACATACTCAACACCTACTATCTCATCTGCTCAGGTAAGCCCATCCATGAAATCATTAATCACACTCACACTCACTCTCTCTCTCTCTCTCTCTCTCTCACACACACACACACACACACACACACACACACACACTATGACCTGCACTATATCATATTGTTTGGCTTTGATTTTAGTTTTTTTTTTGGACTAAATAACACCAGAATGGGAACTGTGTAACTGAGTAGCTGAGCAAACAGAAGAGAGAAATTCAGACGATGTGTTGTTGTTTGAAAACATGTTGAAGATCATCTAAAATCAATGTCAGTTGTTAGAGTTGTAATTAATTGTAAATATGCAGCCAAAATGGCTCCAATCTGTTGCTATTGATGAACTCATCTTAAAATTGTGCAGATGACGTCTTTCTTTTTTTTTTTTTTTTAGTTCCTGCTGTTTTATCATTATTTTCTGTTGTCTCTGCAGACTCTGTCAGGCTACTGAATGGGTCCAGTCTGTGTTCAGGTATACTGGAGGTCAGGTCTAACCAGTCTAACCAGCAGTGGTCCTCAGTGTGTGAAGCTGACTTTGACCAGCAGGATGCTGAGGTGGTCTGCAGGGAGCTTGGCTGTGGAACTCCTGTTTTCTTCCAGGGGGCGCTCTTTGGAGAAGTGGAGGCTCCGATGTGGACCAAAGAGTTCCAGTGTGCAGGTGATGAGTCTGGTCTCCTGGACTGTAAAAGCTCAGACTCAGTTGGAAACACCTGCTCACCTGGCAGAGCTGTTGGACTCATCTGCTCAGGTAGAAGAGGAGTCTCATCTTCAATTCTGTTTAATTCTGTTCACGTTATTCTTTTACTGATGACTCTCCTGTTTCTGCTCAGAGTCTGGTGACATCAGGTTGGTGGGAGGAGACAATCGCTGTGAAGGTACACTGGAGATGAAACTGGAAGAATGGAGACCAGTGAATGTCAAGGATGGAACCCTAAAGACAGCAGATGTTTTCTGTCAACTTCTGGACTGTGGATCTGTTGTCTCTGTAGGACAGACAATGAAGACCTCAGACAAACCTGTGTGGAGGATTATGTCTCATTGTGTTGAGGTTCAATCACCTTTGAGGGAGTGCATGATACCAGGATCCTCTTCCTCTGTCTTCAATCTCATCTGCTCAGGTAAGTCAAACAGTGACATCATCTATGACATTATTAGAGGTAGATAAAGTTGTCCAAGACTTGGCTCAAATAAAAGTGTTCATCCTTTCTGAAGTGAGTTATAGTTTTGACCTGCCATTTCACCAACAACAGTTGGTGGGACTGACTTTGTATACCCAAGTTATTCTCCAGCACCTGTGATTTCACCTATGCTCCAGGCTCCATCTCCAAAGGTCACAATGATGACCATCTACAGATTAACTACCAGTTGGGGGTTTTGCAGAACCTCGCCAGCTGCTTTACCGCTGCTCTGTCACTCCCCAATAGCATAGACATCACCCCAGCAAGAGCTTTCATCCCCATTGAAGCTAGAGCTGCCTTTCAGCATCAGATACCATCGTCATCATCTGAGTCAGATGAGGTAGAAGGTTTGCTGCAAGGACATTGCAGCTAAGTTTGGGAAGACTGTGAAACCAACCCCTTCAGCCAAGTCATATATGCATGAATGAATGTGCATTTTGGCGTAATTAAGACTGGACTTAAAATTGATTGGTGCAATGACATAAGGGCCATTCGAAAGACTGGTCCCACCTTAGCAGTTAGGAGCTGGCTAAGTAAAAAGCTGCTAAAGTCACTAGCCCTAGAGAAGTTTGAAAAAGGACAATTCAGTCATCCAAGAAGCTGAACAGAAGATATGGAACAGAGTCCTTGAAAACACATTAAAACCATCTCTAATCAGTTATAGTTCGCTGGAGAATATGGCTGTGTCCGAAATCACCCACTCACTCCCTACTCCCTTCTCCCTATATAGTGATCACTATAGTGCACTATATAGGGAGCATCTTGGCAAAGTAACATTTCGGACACTGCTCGAGCTATTAATTACGTCGCTCGCTAGCCGCGATTTGTGCTGCAACAGCGTAGTACAAACACATCAAATTAGCAGTTTATTGCGTAGCTAAGAAATCAAATTAAATCAAGTTTATTGTCATTTTGCTGTACATACCAGATGAGAGAGCGTTTCTTCAGGATCCAGTAACTAAAAGCAATTTAAATAAAGTGGTGTTGTATGTCCAAATCACAACTGAGCGCCACAATTTTAGCGACGTTCACTGTCCGGGTAAAATAAAATTTAACAAAACAAATGGGAATTTTTCCGCGCTCTCGTTCATCTCCATTTCCATTTCCTTTCGCGCAATGCATGATGGTCCATATTGCTTGGTTAGTGACCATCGGCTGTACACTACTTTTTACGGTGCATTGTGGGATATTTTGAGTGCACTATATAGTGGATGAAATTTACCGCTGAGAATTCGAACAACACTACAAAATGGCGTGCACCCTATATAGTGCACTATGTAGGGCATAGGGAGTGATTTCGGATACAGCCTATGTATTACAAATGTGCTGCTAAAATAGTTGTTTGAAGACATCTTTTGTTTAGTGTCTGGTGTTTTACCACTCGCCATATAATTTTCTGTCTCCGCAGACTCTGTCAGGCTACTGAGTGGGTCCAGTCTGTGTTCAGGTATACTGGAGGTCAGGTCTAACCAGTCTAACCAGCAGTGGTCCTCAGTGTGTGAAGCTGACTTTGACCAGCAGGATGCTGAGGTGGTCTGCAGGGAGCTTGGCTGTGGAACTCCTGTTTTCTTCCAGGGGGTGCTCTTTGGAGAAGTGGAGGCTCCGATGTGGACCAAAGAGTTCCAGTGTGCAGGTGATGAGTCTGGTCTCCTGGACTGTAAAAGCTCAGACTCAGTTGGAAACACCTGCTCACCTGGCAGAGCTGTTGGACTCATCTGCTCAGGTAGAAGAGGACTTGCATCTTTGATTTGGTTAATTTTTGTTCCCTTTCTTTTCTTGTACTGATGAATCTGATTTCTGTTCAGCGCCTGTCAGGTTGGTGGGAGAAGCCAGTCGCTGTGCAGGTACACTGGAGCTGAAACATCTGGAGGATTGGCGACCAGTGGAAGCCTCTCAATGGACCCTGAAGGCAGCGTCTGTTTTCTGTGAACATTTGGACTGTGGCTCTGCTATTTCTTTACAACGGAGAGAATGGTGGTCAGGCAGACCTTTGTGGTCTGTCAATCCTCACTGTTTTCAGCGTGAATCTGATGCGAGGGCGTGTGTAACAGCAACTCAGTCTTCCTTTATGCTGTATCTCACATGCTCAGGTAAGCTCACCAGTGTTATCTATGGCATCTATGACATCATCAGAGATGGGTAAAGTAGACAGTTTGAGCCCACTGAAAGTAGTTGTTTGAAAATGTCACCTGCTTTTACATCTTATCTGAATCTTGTCTTATTTATTTCATCTTCATATTTGAGATTTTAGCCATTCAGTTGGATGGTGTTTGTTCTGATTCTTTCTGTCTCTGTTTGGCTTTCATGTGTCTTCGTGGCCAGGACTCTTTGGAAAAAGAGATTCTCACTGAGTCTTTTACCTGTTAAACATCAGGAACTTTTTTTTTTTGATGTGGATATATGATTACATTTATCCATCTATCCATTTAACCATACATATATTTTGTAAGACTTACCTCCCCGTCCTTGTCAATTCCTCCAGCTCTTCTAGGGAATTAGAGAGGTTTTTCCAAGCCAGCTGAGAAAGAAATCTCACCTGCGTGATAGGGTCTGCCCTGGGGTCTCCTCCCAGTTAAACATGCTCTAAGCACCTCATCTGGGAGGTGTCCAGAGGGCTTCTTAGATAAATGCCCAAACCGTCTCATCTGGCTCCTGTGGATGTGGAGGTACAGAAACTCTATTCTGAGCACCTCATGAATGAGCAAACTCTTCAACCTATCTCTAAGTGTGAGCCCAGACTTCCATTGAAGAAAGCTAATTTCCACTGCTTGTATCTGTGACGTTAATCTTTCAGTCACTATCCACAGCTCACGGTCATAGGTAAGAGAAGAAATGTAGATCGACCAGTAAATTGACAGCTTCCCTTTTTGGCCCAGGTCTCTGTTTACGACAACAGATAGGTACAGTGAAGACATCCGACTTGTAAACAAAACCCTAGGATACTTCAACTTCTCAACTCGAGGCAATGACTCACCCTCACCCAGGAGTGGGCAGTTCACCTTTTACTGACTAAGAACCGCAGCTTTAGAGTCGGAGGAGCTAATTTCCATGCCAGCTGCTTCGCACTTGGTTGCAAACCAACCCAGTGCAAGCAGGTCACTGCAAGATGAAACCAACTGAACATCATCTGCAAAAAGCAGAAATGTGATTCCTAGTGAGTTAAACTGCTAAACCCTCCACCTCTTGGCTACCTTTAGAAATTCTGTCCATGAAAGTTATGAACAGAATTGGTGACAAAGAGCAGCCTTGGTGGGGTCCAAACACCCACTGGGAAGAAGTCTGACTTACTGCCATGCTCTTTCTTTGTTGTGAAGTGACCAAATGGCCAGTGACCACGAAGATGATATGCCAGCATTTGAAAACACATTGAAAACCCATCTACAATCAGTGGCAGAATTGTCACACAAAATGGCTCTAGTCTATGCTAATATACCCACGTATTCTGTTGTTAATGGTGAACTCATGACGGTATTCTGCTGAGTGGAGTTTGGATCACTGAATAGTTATTTGATGGCATCTTTTTATGTAGTTCCTACCGTCTTGTATTACTCTTCATTTGATTTTCTGTTGTCTCCGCAGACTCTGTCAGGCTACTGAATGGGTCCAGTCTGTGTTCAGGTATACTGGAGGTCAGGTCTAACCAGTCTAACCAGCAGTGGTCCTCAGTGTG